CAAATGCATGAAAGAGGTCAATATGCACGATCTTTTTGCCTCATCTGAAGAGAGAGTGTTAAGGAGAAATACAAATGGTACAGCAACTTCCAATTAACTTTCATGTTGTGTTTAAATAATGGTTGAATACAACCTTTTTAACTTTTGTCACAAAGAATGAGCAAACTGCATCTGGATATTCATTCAAGGCATTTTTGGTCTTTATTTTAATTAACAAAGTTGCCCCAAGCACAAACTTAAGTGTTTAAGCATTTAAATTGCAGGTCTATACAGTCTCAAAGTACGATGCTCTGTCCCTTCCGAAGGGAATATCCACCTTCAATAAAGCAGAAGTAGGTAGATATTGTAAAGTGTCTCATATTATCTGATAATTTTCTGTCTTAACTGCTTTCTGTATCTTGCTCATTGCATCAAAATTATAGAAGGACTCCTTTTGAAATAAAATATACTGCAAATGAGTCAAAATTACGCATCGTTTATCTCTTTGGCTGCTCTTAACCAATCTTCCCTTTATCGCTATTGTCAAAACACACGTGTGCTACTTCTGCTCACCCCTTTCCTGAACCTATGGAAACTTAATTTGCATTCATGTCTCAGCTTACAGGTCACATGCAAGCCCCTATATAACAGAACATTGATCTGTTCTGTTGTTGTTTTTTGTGTTTTTTTTTTTGCATTGATTTTAAGAGATTTTAAGAGAATGAGTAGAGAGAGACCATTCCAAAAATCCCTTTGTAACAACTTCGTTTTAACCTGTTGTGAACTGCACTGCAGACTAGATCATGTGTTCAGTAAATCTTAGTCTCCAAATGAGGAAGTGAAAATGGACTGTGAATTACTAATAAAGCTATTAATGTACTTTTTTTGTGTTGTCAACAGTATTAAGCATGTACCAATAGCTTACTAATTGCAGGCTACCTTGAGGCTTATTATTACAGCAGCTTTGCTTTAACTTTTAGTGCACACAAGCTGTGTGCACTGTGTGTATTTGCCATTTATTTGCCCTTTCCTCATCTCACTGCTTCAACAACCAGTGAACTACCAGCTTTATTTGAGAGCTGCATGACTGCAGAGTACACCTCCAGAGCCAGAGAAGCAACAAAGAAAGAACAGCCTGGTTTCTTTCTTTTTTCCTTTTTTTTTTTTCTTCTTTTTTTCTGAAAGCAATTAACATGACAAGGAAAACAAAAATACACAGAGGTCTTAAAAATACGGCACTGCAATACTTAATAATGAGGACCAGCCACATTTAAGCAAGAAGCCATTTATACTGAAGTAATTTTGAATTTTTATTATCTCAGAAGGTGTGTGAGGAAAAGAAAGAATGAATATTAATAGCATTTGAAATAAAGCTGCTAAACGTTATTCAGCTGTCCCACTTAACGCTGCTGCCTACTTCCCAGGAGAACCAGAAGCAACAAGCAAATCTCCCTCTACTTACTTTATGTTGCCTATGTCCCCCAGAGCACAACCTACACTGTAACCAATTTTACTAGACAGCTTTAGGATGGTTGTTGAAATTAAGGTAGCAAATGAGTTATTTCCCCTTAATTTGGACGTGAGCATTGTCCTTTTACACCCCAAAGTATTCCAAGACGTTGTCTTCATTTTTTATCTGAGAAGGAATTCTGTAAAAGAGAATATGTGTATGTAACTTTAACATATACATACTTAAAAAAAAGTAATTCCTCCCCTATTTTTTTGAAAGAATTTAGAGCGCTGTGTATGAGAACCACTTAGCCCGAGCACCTTTCTCCACACAGTAACGTGCTGTAACTACTAGCAAAAAGCTTATCTTGAAAAGCACAGTAAATCTGCACGGAAAGAAAACAAGATAATGATTAAAAATTAATCTGTTTAGCAACGTAATTCATAAGCAAAATAACAAGATCAACAGTAGGTGGTATAATAACGGAATTAAATAAAGTTACTTCTTTTTTAACAAAATGTTGTGCTTGCTTGCTTCAGTTTTATTCTCCAGCTGAACATCCACCTGAAAATAATTCTTAAAAATAAATCAATCTAGGTCACTACAAACTCATCAGGCTCTTTGCAGATGGGTAATGTGATACTACGCCTGTTGTATCTCAGTTGCTTGTTAAAATACAGTTTAAATCATCAGCAACCAAAGTCTACAGCCAGCTGTTTCTTGTTAAGTATAGTGGGTTGGTAAAATTAGTTCATTTTACAGTGAAAAAGTAATACATATATATGTATTATTTTGGTAAGCTATCACTGAATATGGAATGGTCTCTGCATATCAAACCATCTCAGAATCACAGAGAGTTTGAACCTGGAAGCATCTCTGGATGACACCCTGCCCAATCCCTTAACCACAGCCACGCACAGTCATTTGTTCACATCCAGGTGGCTTTTGAAGATTTCCACAACCCCTCTTTGCAGTCTATGCCAGTGCTCTGTCACTTGCACAGTAAAAAGTGTTTTTTGATGTTCAGACAGAAACGTTTGCGTTCTGGTTTGCACCCACTGCCTCTTGTCCTCACACTGAGCCCCACTGAAAAGAGCTCGGATCCATCCTCATTGCAGTCTTCCTTCAGGTACTGATTCACACTGATAAGGCCATCCCGAGCCTTTTCCTTCTACTTCTGAGCCTTTCCTTCTCAGCTCTCTCAGCCTCCTCCTTTCCACATCAGATACTCCAGTCCCTTAGCCATCTTATTTGTGTTTTTCTGGATTGGCTCCAACATGTCCAGGTTTCTCCAGAACTAAAGAGAACAGAACTGGACTTATGTCTGTCATCTGTGGTCTCACCAGAGCAGAGCAAAAGGAAGATAGCCTCCCTTGACCTGTTGGCAACATTTCTATTGCATCCGAGGACACTGTTAAACTTCTTTGCCACAAGGGCACACTGCTGACTAGAAATGTTCAACTTGGCATCCTTCAAGAATCCCAGGACCTTTTCTTCAAGCCACTCCAGCTACTTCTACACACGGACGGAATCAACATGTCTCTCTGAGGTCAATGTATTTCTCTGTGAAAGACAGTATCTCCCACTGAGATAGGGCATATGCAGAGTGTCTTTGGCAAAAAGCTATTTTGGAAAAGATTCCTTTTTCAGTGTGACCAAGCTCTGTTAACTAACAGTTGCCTTATATTAAGACACTGCATAGAAAACTCTAGGTTCACAGGTCATGAAAGCGTATGCCTAAGTAAATGCTCCACAAAACTTCAAATCGTGTTTGCAAGTACACATAATGGAAATTACAGTACCTATCTCTGCAGTGAAAGAAAAATAAGCATGAGAGAAAGCTTTCATTTCTATTGTTATTGCTCAAGGTGGATTTATGACCAAGCAAAAGAATCTTGAAATTGCTAAGGCTTTTTGAAGGTAACAAATTCTCTCACTGTAGGGCTACAAACGAGTACCAGACAAAAATCACTGTTCAACTAAGCTAGAGGAAAACACTGGAAGTAGTCAATGCATAGCAGAGCAGCATAAAGATATGTAATGTAAACACTCGCTGAAAAACTGTTCAGGCAACAAAGAAAGTTTCTGTTTGCACATGAAATTGTAGGCTTGCATATTTTTTATTGAATGTATGTCAAATTCAAGAAGTTTTGATTTCCACACAGAGTAGATAATTAACTGTAGATACTATGTAGTTCAAGCACTTTCACTACCACATCTTAGTACATCACAACCTTTAAACCCCAGGGGAATACTTAAATAAACTGATTTATAGATGGGCTGACTGCATAAATGTCTGCCTCTGTAACTGATTGTTTTCACACCCACTGACGCCTGTGGGCATACACTTTCTGAAATAAAAAGAAAACATTTAATTTATTGCTTAATTGCTTGAATTGTAATTAGGTAATGAATTACAATTCAAATTAATATTTTACTACTTTAGCTTTATTTTTATTTTGGTATGCATCAAATGCTTTGTCTCTGTGGACAATTCCATAGTATCAGAATGAGTTTTCAATTTAACATGTTCAGGAGAGGCCACATTGGACCTCTCTACAGGCAACCCTCCTGCACTCTCATCCCTACTACAGGAAGGCTTTTGTGGAACTCATTAGCACACGACTGTATCTATTGAGCAAGATTATCTCTTTATTAAGAAAGCACCAACACCGTGGTCTTCAAAATTACTGGAATTTTATTTGCCTCAGGCTTATGACTTGCAACCAAAGACATTGTGCAAAGAAAGCAAAGATTAAGTACACTTTAGGGAAAAGGTGATAATCCACATTGGTAACATAGAAGATCAGTCTGATGAAAGAAGCCATCCATTACACTATATAGATTGCAATATTCAATAGCATTTTTCAACCCAACTTTTTTAATCAAGGAGAAAAAAGTTAAGCAAAGTTTACAGTAGACATAAATTTGATACAATTCAAAAAGCATTTTTCTGAAGATCGTCAAGCATAAGTGGAAAAACATAAATGGGACGAAATGGATGAAAGCTAACTACTGTACAAATATAAGCTATTAAACAAAGTTGCATATATGTACCACAGTGTAAAAAAAAAAAAAAAAAAGAAACGCAATACAGAAGAAATAAAAACCTCAAAAACTGCCTGATGAACAATAAAATAACCAGTGACTTTTAACGGCTTCTCCTGGTTATCAATGCTACAAAAGACTTTTTTTTTTGTCTTTCTGATGCCACTTAAAAACTTCTTATCAAATGATAAAACCAGGCAAAACCAAACCATTAACAAGCTAAACCCAGCCCATAGAAATATACTACTAACCCACATTTTCCATCAAAAGCTTTTTTTTTTTTTTTTTTTTTTTTTTTTTTTTTTTTT